GTAGATGACAAGAAAAACTGAAGCAAATGATTTTGCTCAAGGAAATACCCTTGAAGTGAATGTCTTTTTCAGGAGGCTGTTCTTCCGCTGACTCTCCAATTACTCAGCTGTTCTTGTAGAAGCCCATGTGTGGGACTACAATATGTATGTATTGTCCAGGGGTCTGGACGCCTCCAGGGGAAAGAAGGTCCAGACTGCAATCCCTCGTGCATCTGCATTCTGGCCAGGCTTTGTCATGGGCTAGCTGCTCTCTTTATCTTCCTGCTCCTCCTTTCTTTACTGAAAGTAAAGATCTTGAGTGGGTGGTCGTCTCTAATATCTAGGTCTATTCAATTCAAGGTCTAAAATGCTACGACATTTTAAAATGCAATGCTCACATGATTATGGACTTCAGGTCTTTTAGAAAAAGTGAGAGAAGGTAATATTTGCTCTTAGAAGCAAGTATTAAAACTGTCGCTCTGTTAACTAAAACATGATTTTTCATTAGCTACTTCACAGGGAGAACTGATGGTGTTTGCTGAAGTGTCAAAACCTCACTAACATGTTTATAATGCGTGAGTGAGATCTTTTTTCACCTCTTTTCAACAGGAGAACTTCCTTTAATAAAGTAAGACAAAAAAATTTAAAAAGGAGATACTGTAATAACTGCCTTGATCTGAATAACATCTGTTTGGGAAGATAATGATAATCAGAAACATAGTAATGTTTCTCTTCCTTCCAAGACAGGTATCTAGACTCTATTCTGAGTCATGTATTTCAAGATGGTCTTGTTAAAAGGATAGTAAAATAAGTTTATAGCAGGAAAACAAGACTCAGAGAAGGAAAAGGCCCTAAGCCAAGTTTTCCTGTCCTCTGAAAAGAATGGCTAAGAAGAAATATTTTGATGATACAAAACTTTTTATTTGATAAATGTATCATTTACATATTTCCTATTTTACAAAAAAGGTTAGTACATTCATTGGAGAATTAGAAATTGGTTTCAGCTTTCTCCTACTTGGGCAAGTTAATTTTACTCTCCAATAGATGGCACTTAACAACAACAACAACTACTCCAACAGAGGCATGCTCTGTTTCTAAATGCATTTAATCAAGCCTGTCTCCCTTCCCCAGTTCATCTCTACTACCGCTGCCACTGAGCTGATTCCAACTCACAGTGTGGTTCTCACGCTCTGTAGTGGATTTTAGGGTTGTAAGTCTTTACAGGAAGAGATTGCTCATCTTTCTTCCTAGCTGGTGGACTAAACCAATAAAGACCTTTCATTTAGCTCCACACAGATAATGTACAATACAACCATTTTATATCTAGTAGAGAAAAACAATGCCTACTGGTAATACCTCTAGATTATGAGGAAAATAACAACTAACCTTATGGTATAATCTCACCTCTACCCATATGAGGTCAGGGAAGCCAAGGTCTGAGTGCTGTGCAACTGTCAGCAAGGATTAAAGGGAGTGACTCATTGTTCCTTCACACCTTACCCCTTGCCACTTCCCTGGCAGCTGAATCTGTTCAGAAACTGGTGCCTTAGACAGGAAATTAGGAGAGAGAAGAGGGGACAGAGAGAAAGTCCTATATCTTTTCTGTCACATCATCTTACAACTTGCACAATGTCACAGGTAATTTTCTGCTTGTCATTACTAACTAACACAAAGGTTACTTCCGTTAACATGAAAACTAAGGGATTAATTTCTTTAATCCCCCCCTAGAACAAAAGGTTCAGGATATAAATTAGTAGTAGATTAGCACAAGTTCCATGAACAAGAATATCACATATACCACAGAAGCTCTATGACTACTTGCAAGTAGTGCTATCCTCCGTAAAACAGATGAATGCTGAGCCAACAACTGTTTTACAGATCTTTAGAATTAACATCATCCTCAAAAAATAAACCAAAACAAAACCCCCCAAAACAACTTTAAAACACACAATATGGCTTAAAATACTAAATATTCTATCAGCACAACCTGAAAAAAAAAGTCACCCTATGTTCCACATATGGACTTTGGAAACAAAAAGCTGTAGCCATAACTATTGCTTTAAATTTTTTTCTTATGTATCTTGCAGGCTTGCAGGATGTTGTGCTAGGAGAGACCTTCCAGATCATATCATCACTTATCCAGTCTCCTTGTTTCACAGATGAGTCAACAGAAGCCCAGAAAGTTTATGTGATTTATCTAAGCATATGCAGTAAAGAAATGACAGAGCTAGAATCAGAACTCTTGATCTTTTGACTTCTGATGCAGTGCTCTTCCAGTTCAGTGCTTTTTCTATTGCATGATACTACAATGCACCAAAAAGTTTTCCCCAGTTATTCTGGGCCCTGAATCTCTGAGACTGCTAACTTAATTTAAATCATGAGCTAATTCTTACTGAGTTTCCTGATTCCAATACAAAGAGTATATGATGGTTTAGAAGATGAGAGAAATCAGTATCTACAAAATCAGCATCTCTCATGCTGATCTTGGGAATGGAGGAATGCAAACCCTCTGGCAGAAGTGCTAACAAAAAAATGGGACAGACTCCTGAGGCTTGTGGCAAGAGACAAAACAGTATGAGTTTGGTGTATAAAACCTGTTGTTTCAAATCCATGAGAATACCAAAGTGACTTTTATTATATTAACTAGGTCCTTGGCCTAACTGTAGGTTCAAGACAACTGTAATAATGAGGTATTCTCTCTTGTATTTTTTCTCTTAGACCATAATGTATTGATTATAATTCTACTTTCCCCACCCTTTCCCCATCTCCCTCAGGTTCCTAAACTGCATTAACTCTAGCCATTTCTAGAGTAAAAAATTTCCTTCAAATTAAAATACATTTTTTTGCATTAAAATAACTACCCAAACTATATCCTTTAGTCATAACCTCATCATGTAAGCACAACTTGACTGATACGTGGGCAATGATTTTCCCCCCAACAGTTCTGACACATATAGTTCAGTGACATGGATAAATTATGTTGGTTATGCTCTGCTAAAACTGATGATTTTTTTAAACAAAATCTATGATTTTTAAAAAGACATTTATTTAATATTGTTTTTATTAAGAATATACACAACAGAACATACAAGCCTAAGACTTTTCAAATTTGACTGAAATTAAAATATGACTGAAATTGGACTGAAATTTCAAATATGACTAAAATTCTTTCTACTTTCCAAAGAAAACAGCTGCTAACATTATAAATTTCAGTTTTTGCTTTTCACCTGAAGTGAGGTTCATCCCTAAAATCCTTGTGCACCTTTCTTGACTCCACTAGGAAACTATTCTTTGCTATTAATGACTCTGAATGAATAGGACAATTTCTCTCATGTTCTAAGCTATCATTTTCTCTAAGTCCTAATATAATGTTTCCCACAGCTTACTCAAGTAATGCCTCAATAATTTTCTTTACCCACTTTTGCAGAGCAATGAGTGCCTAAGGTTTTGTCCTGCTTATATGCACAACTGTTTCCACAGCAATCAGCTATGATTTAGGGTAAGCTACAAAGTTCTTCAACATTTTTCAGGTCTTTTGCAGTAGATCTGAACAATGTAATTTATTACTTCATTTTCTTTACTATTGTGTCTGGAGGTGTTGACTGTGAACCCAAATTAAATGAAATCCTTGATAAGTTCAATATTTTCTATGTTTATCATGATGTTGTATATTGTCCTGGTTGTAAGAATCTTTTTTTTTTAGGTTGAGGTGTCATCCATACTGAAGATATGTCAGGATGAAGGTAAGTCTTTGATCTTCATCAGTAAGGAAGATAAAAAAATGAACTGAAGCATTTAAGCTATGGTGTTGGTAAACTAGAAGCAGTGTTTTAACACAACTTCTTGGAATGAAAATGGCCCAGTGTGCCTAAACTACATTACTACATGGCTGGCTGCCTAAGGGGAAGAGAGAAGGATATTTGTCTAAAATACACCAACTGTAGTCTTGACATAATTTATTCTGAAAGTATTTTTAAAATGGTTTTTCAGTTAATAGAAAGAAAAGAAATAAAAATAAATAAATATTTAGATAATCCTGAATATATATATGGGCTCTTTCATTGGAATACTGATTTATATAGCACGTCTGCATGTACAGAATTATCTAGACTAGAATAAAATCTGGCCAGATTTAAAAATTAAGTAAGCATTTTAATATCTTAAAAGTGATTTAAAACAATAAATAGAAAAAGACTGAAGGGAAAAAAACCCAATAGCAACAAGCAACTTTTGAAAAAGACTGACAGGTTTCTAAAAAAGTAGAATGAGTTCTATTTTTGCTTGATAACTATTTTTGTTCAGTATCACCAACTAACTTTCAATTTATAGCAAAATTGATGCACTCAATTCAGCTGCCTGCTTCAAATATACAAATCTATTTTAATTATCAGAATCACACATCTGGAAAAGTTAAAAAAATATCTGCCATTCAGTAATTCTAACTTTATTGAATATAATTATTTCTTAGCCATCTCCTTTTGCTGTATCTTTTGACAATGTGAAAACCAGAGGCATAAAAAGCAATTCCAGATGCATGACTAACTAAAACCTTGTTATTGAAATCTTTGTTTTCCAAACAATTTTCCCTTAAAGTAAATTCTCAATCAAATTAAAGAGCACAAAATCAAATTTTAGAGCACAAAAATGTTGTGCATGCTAACAAAAATCAACTTGTAAAATTACAAAAGATTACAAAAATGCTATCTCAAACATCTTACTGGCATAAATTGCATAAGTGCTCTCATGCAATACATGTCATTCAGAATAAAGAGGAAGAAGCAACATTTTAACACCATCTCCACTTAGGAAACCGGACACTAACTATTTCCATCATCTGTAGTAAAGATTATTTAGTTAATATCTTTCAGTCTTCGACTGCAGTTTTAAAACTGAACCATGAAGAATAAAAGCACAAAATTAATTACCTTATTCAAACAGAGATTAAGCCAGGAAGGGCCTGTCTTATGTTATCTCATTCAAACTATCTGCTAACAGCAGCAAGAAAAGGTTTATATTCTTACCAATGAACTTCTGAGGCATTGAGCTTTTTCGTTTTGCCACATTGCTTGCTAATCTGTCCAGAACGAGAGCTCTTTCAGTTCCCATCTCTGCTTTGATGTGTCTTGTCTCCACACTTGCTGGTTTGGAAAAAGGTAAAAAGAAGAACACGTTGGTAAATAAGAAAAGGGAATAAACTGGAAGGAAAAGTGTGAGATGTCTGATCCACACTCTTGTTATGTTATTACTTCTCAAAGTCTTGCCTGGGGTACCTGCTGTGGTCAGTGAAACCAGCACAGGGCACATTCAAATCTTGCAGTCTTAGCTGAGATGGGAAAGCCCGACCCATCCCCAACCAGTACCTTCATTAGCAAGAGGAAGTATTAAATAAACAGCCTGGACGTGGTTGGTTGCAAAAAGATAGATGGAGATCTTCTAACCCCTTGATCAGCTTTCTTTCTGATTCTGAGTAACCCTGCATGTGACACCTGCAGACTGATATAATTCTTAACAACTTTTTAAAAAAAGTATAGTGTCCTAGATTTACTGCACTGTTTATGTTAATAGCATGTTTGAAAATAGATACTTACCCAGATAGTAAGAAATGTACTCAGTGATTTATGTATTGAAATTCTCTGCGTCTTCTGTTACCTCCTCCCCCTCCATGTTCCTCTTGTGTCTGTCTTTTCCATTTTATTTCTGTAGGCTCTGCATTATCTGTTTCATATGCTCTTCACATTTGAAAATTATCTCGGCTAATATTTCCCTAAGCAACACTTCTGTCTTGGCATCAAATAATAATTTGTACAATGTGTTGTTGTTGTGTACCGCTGAGTTGGAACCGGCCTGTAGCTAACCCACCAGCTGGTTTTCAGAGGCAGTCAATCGCAGGAGAGAAGTCTGCTCATCCTTCTCCTGTGGAGCAGCTGGTGGATTCTAACCACGTGCCTTCAGGATTGCAGTGCAGCTTCTTGCCATTAGACCACTGGAGCTCCCTTAGCTCCACTGTATGTGTAATGAAAAATGGCAATAAAAAAGGTCTAGAATATGGGCTGCCAATGCAGGGCTTCATCCTTGCTATATATCAGAATTACCTGAAGAACTTTGTAAGAAATACCCATGTCCAGGCCTCATTTTAGACTGGCCCTCCAGCTTGTTTCTGAGGCTGTAAATCTTTGCAGGAGACGTCCCTCTTCTTTTTCAGAGTGGTTAGTGGATTCAACTGCTGACCTTTCAGTCAGTAGCCTGATACACTGTACCCTACACCAACAAACTTCCTTTGGCCTAGGCAACGGTAGATTTAAAACTCCTTAAGTAACTTAAAATGCAGACAAAATACAGAATCACTACAAGAGTGGAGCTATGGTGATATGGTCCGTAGCCCGCTGCTCTAGCTAGCACGTCTTTGGCAGTTGGAACTCATCAGTGTCTCCTTAGCAGAAGTATGAGTAAATCTCCTCCCATTAGTATTTACAGCCTCAGAAACCAATTCAAAGTCCCAATGAGTTGGAACCAACTCAAGGGCCAAGAGGGTTTTTGTTTCTTTTTTTAAACAAGAGAAGAATATATACAAAGAGTGTCAATGTACAGTCAACCAAAATAATATATTGAAATAAGTACCATTTCATCTAATACTTGTCTACAAATTCCTAAAAAAGAAATGTTTAACTGAGATTACCCCCCAAAAAATAGTACCATATATTTTTACCTTGTGACAACAGGAAGTATTAAATTAAAGTTGATGTCTAAAGTTTGAAGAGATAGTCTCTATGGAAAGACTAGAACTCTCATATACTGCTGGTAGAAATGTTAAATGGTACCACCATTGTGGAAAATGGTATGGTGCTTTCTTACAAAGTTACAGATATCTTATGATACTGCAATCCCCTTCTAGGTATATGTATGTCTCCCAAGGAAAGAAAAGCTATGAGAAGAACAGTTACATGTTTACTGCAGGGAGTTCTGGTTGTATAGTCCATAGGTACAATTAACTGAAAGGTACAATTAACTGAAAGGTCACATTTCTCTAGTAGTTTGAATCCATGAGAGAAAGATGGGAAATATCTTCCTATACAATTTACAGCCTCAGAAACTCAATGAAGGGTCAGCTATGAGTTGGTTTTGACTCAAAAGGCAATTCTGAGTTTTGTTCAATGCAGTACTATATACAAAGGCAAAAATATAAAACCAACTTAAATATTCATAAAGAAATGAACAGAAAAATAAACTATGGTACAAATACACAATAGAATATTACATAGTGTTAAAGAATTAAACAATGAATCTCTGAAACATCTCAATATATGAGTGACCGAACCTGCAGGAATTATGCTGATATAAGTCAATTAGAAAAGCAAAACTATTACATGAGACAGATATTAATAAAAAGTCAAGAGAAAGTTTACACAGAAAGAAATACTTTGATGTTTACCAGAGATAGAAAGAGCAGAGAGTGAAAATTACTAAGTAGATGGCAGATGTCACAACTTTGGTGGGTCAGCACAACATGGCTAAGGCAAAGAAAGACACGGAAGTACTAAAAGGCAACAATGATAAATATGATTATATACAAATTCTAAAACAAATGCAACCTCTCTGACCCTCACACATTGCTGATGAGTCCAAACTGATTCACATTTGACCCTGCAGCAGGTATTTGGAGGCTGTAAATAATACAGGAGGAGAATGCTCATGTACCTTTGAGTTTGTAGTGCAACTTTCTATAGATTAGGCCACTAGATTTCCAAATAATAATTTATAAGTAGATACATAGGTTGATATGCAAGGTGAACAGGTGTGGGATGGCATATGGAAGTACATGCATGAGTGTGTCTGTGTACACACACAAGAGGTCTGGCATAGATATATATATACACATACATACATACTGCGGATATAAACATCTCTGTGAGAGCAACGATGTGATAAGGCCTCCTATTTAAAAACCCTTTTCAGTGGACAATTAAAACAGATATTTGGGGGAGAGAAGAACAAACTGGGGAGGACGGTGGAGAAAACAGTGCAACGATGAATGAATAAAAACCCAAAATCTCTGTAAATGTTCATTAAAACTAATAAAATTTAATAATAATAAAAAAACACCCCTTTTCAGTTGGCAGTATGGTGCTGGAAAGCAGTTTGCAAATCATCTACAGGAGCTGGTTCTACAGAAGCCTGTGGCTGGCATTGTTTTTTTGTCAGACATTCTTCTAAGTGGTATAACACTGGTCTGTGCATTGCTGTACAGGTAACTCATGGTTGCTGTAAACACTGTGAGACTGATGTGCCAAATGCGGTAATTATTACCATGGTGGGCAGTGTTTGGTGGGGCTCCCCAATTAAAACAAGCCTGGAAGCAGGAGTGGCATCCACTTCCAAAACAGCTTGCCTTCGGAAACTCTATGAACATGGAGAAATGATCAAAGTTATACAAATGTTCAGGTCTTTTTTTTTTTTTTCCGATCAAGTCTCGACTTTATTGAAATCATACAGAGATATATATAGGAGCACGAATGAGGGGAGTGGAAAGGAGTAGGATTACCAAATGTTCAGGTTTTTAGCTCATAGGGTCACTATGAGTTGTATACAACTCGATGGCACTTAACAACAACAACAACAATGTATATAGTAATAGAGCATATACAGGGCAAAGACATGAAAACTTCTCAGCAAAAGCCAAACATTTTGAGCACTGGAGTCACTTGAGTTTAGGCATTTAGAACTATCATCTCAGAGGACATTTAACTGGTGTAACAGTCCACAAAGACAATGTTTTATAGCCTAGTTTGGTGAGTAGTAATAGGGTCTTAAAAGCTTGCAAGCAGCCATCCAAGAAGTAACTATTGGTTTGTCCCCATCCAGAGTAAAAAAGATTGAAGAAAATCAGATTCAAGCAAACTATGTGTCCTAAGAACTAAAAAGTGAACCACTCTCTCCACTAGAAGAACAGAAGAACCTGATGGTGTTTGACTGCTTTGACTGAGATCATGATAAAAGACCCTGGAGAGAGGAGAAAAATACAGACCAAAATGAAAAATCATAAAAAGGATCAGACTCCTAGTGGCAATAAGCTGCACTGCAATCCCAGAGGTAAGCGGTTCGAATACACCAGATGCTCTGCTGGAGAAGGAGGGTCAATCTCCTCCTGCACCAGTCAGATCCGATTTGACGGTAAACACACACACACACACACACACACACACACACACACACACACTACTAATACTAATACTAATACTAATACTAATACTAATAAGGATCAGACTTACTGGTCTGATAGAGATTCATGAAACTTCCTTCAAGAGAATAGTCCTTACTCATCCTCAAACCTGGAAATGAACTCACTCCTGGGGAATCTCCTTTCAGGCAAACAATAAATATGACTATAAAATGAAAAATAATACCCTTGAAAAATGTTCTCTTCAGAACAGTATATCATAGAAGACCAAAAGGAAAGCCCCAAGTAAAGTCCGGTTGAAGCAGAAAAGGAGGAGGAATGGGAATAGGCAACCCAGCGAGGAAGTGGGGAAAAGGTTGTTACATTGAGGGGTTTATAACTGTCACTACACAAAATAATAACTTTTGAATGGGAAACTAAAGTGCTCTGTTAACATCCACCCAAACCAACAGCTGAATATTAAAAATAAATGTTTGAAGAGATATTAGCTGCTCAAATATAAGTCTATAAATTTTGACATGATACTGCCCTAAACTAGATTTCAGTAGACTCCTTTTGTAAAGGGTCAGACGGAATAGAATTTAAATGTTGTGGTACTTGTATGCTGGAGAAAGATGTGGAAGTTTGTGCCTATAGAGATTTATGACCTTGGAAACCTTACTGGGCAGTTCTTTTCTGTCCTTATTGGTTCACTATGAGTTGAATTCAACTTGACAACACACAATAAAGAACTGAAAGCATGTATTTGAACATTTTTTATTTCTCCATGATAAGAGAACCTAAAATACATTTAAGACTAGACTGAAAACCAAAACCAAATATCATTGAGTTGATTATGACTCATGATCCAATGTGTCAGAGTAAATCTGTCCTTTATAAGATCAGAGGGAGAAGGATGGACAACCTCCTGCTGTGTGTATTCACTGTCTTTGAAAGCCTACTGGAGGGCCAGCTATGAGTTGG